ACTGTGGCATGTTGGCATGACTGTACTAAAGCCACTCCCCCGGCCATAGCGTATATGTCTGTATCAGTCCTACTTCCTCCTGGCCATGGCTCGTCATACTGTACGTTGGAGGCTTATTGCAGGAAAAGTTTGAGAACTCCTTGCTCTATAGGTTAGTCATTGTTAACAAAGATACATCATAACAAGCCCCCCCATGTAGAGAGGCTGAGGTCAAACACACACATTTGTACACACTTCCAGACTGTATCCAAGGGCTATTCACAAAGAGGACAAGCACTTATCCATTGAGGGGAAATTTCATTTTTGAAAGGAAATGGGCAAGAACTAATATGAAAAGTAGAAGTGTGTCAGTGTATGGAGTGAAGTTATGGAACGATTGTGACATTGAATTGAAAGAAAGTAAAAATATGGGTTCATTTAAGAAATTAAAACAAAAACATTAGAAAGTTATGTAAGAAGTGAATGTGGGGATTTGTGAATTTTTGAATCCAGGTATCTGGATATTTATGTTTTTAGTTTGTTATGAGAACTTAAATTGTTCATTTATTTTACTTTGTCATGTTAAAAGTCACTGTTAATGACGTAAGTTTTGTTTGATGAAATTGAATTTATGTTTTTAAAAAAAGGATAGACAAAATAAGCTTAGGCTTCAGTCTACACCTTTTTTTTCGGGCAAAGTAAAAAATAAATAAAAAGAGAGAATAAATTAATTTGCAAGAGAAACATATAGAGATGAGGAAAGAATGATGATATATCGATTGTTTTGTTTATATATCTTGTCTTTTCTTTCATTTTTTTTCTTATCTTTGTTTTGTTTGTCTTGTGTTGTTTGCATGAACATTTGTTTGTTTAAGAAATTATTCATGGAAATTATTGTGAATTTTTAAATGATCGGAAAGAAAAAAAGGTTACCTTTTTACCTACAAATACAGGACCTTGAGCAGATCTGCCCAGCTGTGCAGGGAACACCTGGCGGCATGAGTGCACTCTTCTAGTCTGAATATGTGAGACTTAAAATGCTGATGGGACCTACATAGTAACAAGCCAACTTTATATTGAAACAACTAAATGTTTCATAAATGAAAAAGAAACAATTTTCCAGGGTCCAGTTTAATGACCCAGTGGTCACCAGCCTAATGGTACTGAATGAGGCCAATGGACAAAGATGTTATCAATAAACCATACAGAAGACTATAGGCTAAATCCTTTTTTGGTGACTCATAGGTAACATCTTCTGAAAGGGCATCTCACCATCCTGAGTTTAAGCTGCATAAAACAACATTGTTTGAATTATACGTTCACTGAAGACAAAGTTGTAAAGACCCCTGTTTGTCTGAGATCTTATTTGCATTT